TTTGCTCATTGCTTCCACAGGTTCACGTCACACAGACGCTCTGCGTTCATTCATTCATTCATTCATGGAAGCCGCGTGCACATCCGAGTTTCGCGTGCACAAACGAGATCAATTCTCCGCGTGTACATTCGAGGGAAATTCCGCGTGTACAGACGAGGCTCCGCCCAAGCCCGAATGTGCACGGCACCGCAATGAGAGCACAGTCTCGAAGAGCACCCGCGCCGGTCCATCAGATTCTGCGAGCCTGTGCAGTCGAAATGCATTTCAAAGATCTCAAGGTTTCTTCGCGGCTAATGATCTGCAAAAAAACCGCGAATTAGCCGGGCACGGATGCGAGCACCTCGATCAAACTTCCTTAACCACTGCACTACTGCACTACCCTAAATAGCGTAAATAGCCCTAGCCCTGGTGTTACCACACTGTTTGGGGAAAAATGTGGGCTCCAGATTCTTCATTTTAACATGTGTTTCCTCATGTTTCTTCAACACGTTTCATGGGTTTCTCGTTGAACAATCTGTTTCGGTGAGCAAGTGATCGGATTTGCTGGATCAGAACATGTCTTTTGAGGGTGAGATGTCTGCAAACACATGTTCGCTCAAAGAGGTTCCCAAATTTTAGAACTTCAAAGGGAGATGCCTCTTACCAATGACTTCATCTTCAGTTTTTGATACAAGGATCCAGAATGAGTGCTGCAGCCAGCAAAGCATGAGATAATGCAAGTAACGGTCCGTAATAGTGATATCATCCTTGAAATTCCCAGTCTTATTTCACATGTCAAAGGCCCTCTTTGACGTATTCAATGCACCCACCAGACCCAACTCACCGGACTGCCCTGCTGTGCCTTTAAAGAAAAGGTCCCAGGTCACTTGGCTAAAGCCGGCTGCCAACATCGTTGACCTCGTTTCTTCTGAGCGAGGTATAGCAGGGCTACATGACTATAGCAACATGTGGCTCAGAATCGTGTTTCTTTCTCACTTGAAAGTGGATATATTACTTGTTTGCGCACGGTGTCATTCTTATACCTAGGCCTAGGGCAGCTCAATTCTTTGTGGCTTCGTGGTGCCTCCGTCTTGGCATCTCACTGAATGGGCCAATCGGATCAACCTAACTGCAAGCACTGCAAGGCCCCAACTTCATCTGCAAGGACCGCCGACAGTCCTCTGATTTACTCTTGAAGTCCCCGAGCATCGATGCCTCTGTCATTGCCCAACGCAACAATCCGGAATGAGCCCGTTGGCACCATACTGATGTGAAACAATGTGACATGCTGGGGAGGGTGCGCGAAATGTCAAAAACATCTAAACTATAGTTCCTTTGGAAACAACGGCCTCCAACCAATATAATAGCGACGGGCTCCAACCTAATAGCGATGGCTTCCAACCTAACTAAAAGCGATGGACTCCAACATAGCTCCTTTTGGATCCATTCGAATTCGGTTTTGACCTTTTTGGCTTTAGCTGAAACATGCTGAGCATGGCTTTCGGTGTGGGTTCGCCGCCACCCAACTCTAAAGGTCTTGATCCTCGTGGCATGGAAGAATTAGCCCAGGTTTTGACACGCGCCCATCAAATGAACGATTGCATAACTCTTTGCAAAGCACATTGCAGCACAAAGCCTTTCGACACTGAATGCGCAAAGGACGCACCGCAGGCTTTTGCTGGAAACTGGGATGGGAAATGCTTGAGGCACTGCATCATAGAGGGCCAGGGTTGCTGGCAAAGTTTGGGCACATACCGTATTTACTCAACCAAACGCTTGCAAAGAAATGCTAAACGCAATACATTGCAAAGGACACAAGTATCTTTCTTCTTGGGTGCCCGATGGTTTTTTGAAAGTTGTCTGACCATTGATCACAGGAAATTCAACAAGCCCGAATGTCCTTGGCGGCGCACCTGGACGAACCCCTAAAGGATGCAACGCGCAAAGGACACCATTCTGCACTTTGGATTGATGGTTTGCTCCAACATGATATCGAGGAGCCTATTGTAAGACGTTTGTCAGACATGTGTCGGCTACACCCCACTACTGCCACGCTACTGCCCTCTTAACAAGGCAACAGGAGCAAGCACCTTTTCCCCAGCTACTGCAACACTGATGCCAAGTTATTGCGCGCCCCACTGATGAGAAGACACCACGCCCGTCACGCTACTGCCTCAATTTTATGAAAGTACCCAGCTACAATGTGTTGTCATAACATGCCCACCGCACATTGTGGCCAAGATTTGGCATTCTAGCCATTGTCACATGGCGAACGTTTGTGGCACAATTTCGCTCGCTTTGCTTGGTTTCTGCCAGATGTGCTGCCTGAAAGGAAACACCTACCCACACTGCGCAGGGATTGCAAAGGGAACTATGGCTGCTGTGTCAGCCCCAGCTCAAGAATTTCAAAATCTAAATCCTCAGCACATATGAGCACTAGCATCGCAAAAATAATTTCAGACTTATGCAATTCATTCAGACTCTAAAACTCGTAATTCTCTACGGACCTTGCAGCGCCATGGAGCGGTCATCAGTCATAAAGTCATGGATTGTCGGATTATCTTGGCTTCTTCGATGATGATGGCGGTGGAGGCGATTCTGCACAGGATGTAGTCGTGGCATTGGTCGCTTAGACGGATGATCCAACACCATCTTTCGATGAGCAAACTTGATCTTTCGACTGGTCACAATTGGAAGACACAAAAGAACTGAGCGGCCAGAGCCATTGTCCCCGGCTGAAATTGAATTCAAGAGGCTCAGCATTGGAGCGGAAGGCTTGGGGATGGCGCAGATTCAACGACACCGAGAAGTAAGGTCAGAAAATCCGTTCCTGAGCATCCTTGGTCAGCTACAGAAGCTATGGCCAAATCGAAGGAACTCAGCATACTTACAATATCTTACATATGTCAGTCTCCGTCTCCTTCCACTGTTTGCTATATGCGGGCGATCGTATGCGATCGTTGCTGGATGGGTCCTTGCCCGTCAAGCAAACATGCTAGCAAGGCTGTACTTGCTCTGCAAGCAGCAGCCTCTCCTGGCATCCCTGAGAGAAGGCTTCGACGAAACCTCCCAAACGATCACAGTGCATAATAAACAGGAAGTTAGCAGGTGGGCGTTGTTCGGCACACTCGTCATCATTTTCCCAAGTTCAGATGGCCCACAACCAAGATTAATGAAAGTGCCTGTTGCAACTAGGAGCGCCTATTTCTTTTGTTGACCTCATAGGTAATTTGGTAATTGAAGTAAACATCAATCCAAAGTCCCGGCCGTGAATCAGAGTTTTCACCCCCTCTTAACTTCTTACTTCGTAGGCGTAACTACAATACTTTTGTTTCCATGCCCTTTTCTCCGGAGGTATTTCTTCAGCTCCTTCTTCAGCTTTACCCTTTATATACACACTTCTTCCCGACTGGAATTCACTTTTTGAAGTTCAATAAGACAGTTCGGGAGCATGTCCAGCGCAACAGTGACATCTGGGCTATTGATGACGATGCAATCTGTGTGACATGCGAGAAACCCAAGTTTTGTGGGATGCAGCTCCAGCTACGGAATCGTGAGAAACGAGCTCAAGCTTGGAACTTTGATCAGGTTGGTCAAGCGGCCAACTAGCTGCCAACAGTCGATTGAACAACGACTGTCCAAGTTTACAGCCATATGGAATGACTGCACAAGAGACGTCAGCATTACTTCAGGCAAAAAAAAACTTTATGCTTGTTAACCATGTTCAAACAACGCTGTAGGGTCAGCTGCGGATCGAATTACCAAGTCCGATTTTTGTGGCAACTGTGGGACGGTCAATTATCACACCGTTTATATAATATTGATATTACTAAAAGGTTTCCCGGTGTGAAAAATGATCGCCCACACGGCCCAAGTTCTCCCAATGTAGGATTCTGTAAAGGGTAAAGGTTGACATGAGTTTGTGTTTCAAGAAGCGCAACTTTTGTCTGGCCAGTGTATTGTGTGCGTGGAGGCGCCAAATGGTGTTGCCAAAACGACCATGAGAGCAGATCCAGGTTGGCAAATTCTTTGGTCGATTTGCTTTTAATGTCAGAGTCAGAGGCTTGGACTGACTGAAGTCAAGTTGGACCTTATTGGATCACTTTGAACTGTCATGACAACTTTGGAAGTGGATGCTTTGTCACAGGAACATTATTTGTTGCCCCTGGCTTCCTGTCACACCGGGCACTGGCAGCGCGGAAGAAAGGAACTCACCCTGCTACACCAGGCGGCACGGAATAGAACGGAAGAAGAAACATTCGGCTACACCGCAGGGCACCCATAAAGCGCATTCTTCCATCGTACGGCTGCCGCCCCAACCGACCGCCTCGGGGAAAAGGTCTGGCTCAGTAAGCTCCATGGAAGCAGACTGCACGGCCGCCTGTGGCGGCGTCCGTCAGTATCACAATGTCTCCAAGCTCCGCATCATCTGGCCCCCCCAAAAAGACTTGGACTAATCTGTCTCTAGTTTCTTTTTCTCCATACCACACCCATGTCAGCCCATTTTTTGAACTTCAGATTGTCCATACCGCAACCACGTGCGGCACAAAAACATCCCAACAGAGCTCGCTTTGGGAGATCCATTCTGTGCCGAAGATCCTGTCCATGCCTGCAGGTCAACAGTGGCTGCCAACAACCTGCCCAACAAAAAGCGCGGACGCGAAGCTAATCCTCTGCCGTGTCACCTAGAGTCTAGAGCCAAGCAAATCCTGAAAAGGTGCTGAACTTTTACAGCAACAAAAGCGCCATAGGGGCCACGGGAAGACTTTACCAGTTTGGTGGGGCATAACACTCATAACAATAGGTACTTCATGCAGCCGAACTCCGCCTTAGACGACATTCGCGGTGCCGTTGCAAAGCTGCAGGTGTGGGCAATTGGTAGATGGCAGTGGCCTGCCAGCGAACTGGAACTAACTGGAGCTGATGTTGCGATTGTTGCTTTGGAGGAACAAAGATCCTTCAAAAAGAACATCTAGGAACCAAATCATTAAGACTCAGGCTTCTTGACGGAAGAGCTCCCCCACCCTCAGCTGGGTGTCCTAGATCCTAGGTAGTAGCTTCATAAGCCCAGTACTTACACCGTTACCCTTTACGTACTTGTTAGCTTACTTAAGCCTCCTCACGCCCTACGCACGGGCATAAAACACACATAGATCGTATAAAAAGACCTTCAGATTCTTCAGATGTTGCCGATCCGACAAGTTCCACCGACCTCCACCGACCTCCCAACCGATCGGAACCTGCGCTCGCCTCGCAAAGGTCGGCGAGCGCCGTGAGCTTGGCGGCGGCGCAGGCGGGCACTTGCCGGCGTGCGCTCAAAGCACCGATGTAGGGCAAATGGCCTTGGAAAAGACGGAAATGACGACTCCGGTGATGGGGGATAAAGAGCGATAGAGAGTGGGAAGGGTAATTATGGGAGAGTTCCCAATGAGTGGCCATTACGTACTGTAGGTTGGAGGCCATTGCTTCTACGTTGGAGGCCATCGCTTTCAGGTTGGAGGCCATCGCTAGTAGGTTGGAGGCCAGCGCTATTAGGTGGGGAGACGGTTTGTTGGGCAGTGATGTGATTGTTGATAATGCATCAGCTGGACTGGGACGGATAAAAAACGGAGTCCGTTCCTGGCGGAGTGTCTGGAATGTCCTTGCTCAATGAGGGCAAAGGCCGTCTGGCCCTCGTATATTGTTGAAGAGGGAATGGCTTTAAGCTTAAGAAGAGATATGCTCTGACAACATATTGACATACTGTATATAAAGAGGCATCTTCCCGGACCGATTGCCTCATGCTGACTGACACTCACCACACGTTATACCATGCATCCCATCCTCCCAGAAACGAATGTGTCAAGCCAAGCCCTTTGGCAGTTTTAGAAAGCACTCGTTCAACACCACCAACCCTCCTCAATACCTCCAGCACATCTCTTCAGGAAGATTTAAGACAGAGCAAGGGCCTCCAACCTAAGAGCGATGGCCTCCAACCCAAGAGTGATGGCCTCCAACCTACCAGCGATGGCCTCCAACCCAAGAGCGATGACTTAAGCCCTGCATTGCTCTCTTATTTCTAACTGCAGTTTGTGTGAAAGATGCACTTTTCCAGTGGCCCCAGTAGGTTTCAGGCAACTCCAACGTGTCCAAGTGGCTCAAAACCAACGGAATGACTGCTCCCACAAAGAGCGCGATTAGTAAACCTCCGACAGGCAGGCGGTGTCGCGGGGCTTGAGGCATTCCAAGAGTTGGCGAGGTGCCAAACCATACGGCTTTGCATCGCAAAGGTATATGAATTATATGAAGAAAAAAAACTGCATCTTTCACAGAGTCTGAATAAGTGGCACCGATGACTTCACTGGAAAAAATTGCTCAATTATGTTGGAAAGGCGCACACATACCAAGCATACCCTGTCTACACATTCCGTCCCAAGCATACCTGCAGCGCCCAGGAGGACTTGTTTTTGCTGTGTCCTCAGGCAAAGTGCACGGAGGAACAAACATGAACAACGCTCCATGGCTCAAGGATCCTGACGTAGTCTGCATGAGGCGGTCACTTGAGTACAAATTTGGGTAGCCACCATACCATGGACAGGGTATGCAGCCAAAGCTGTGCCTAAAGGGGAGTTTGTAAACTTGGCCGACAAGAAGTCAATTCCGGCAAACAGCCGAGGGACTCGCAAACATACCACGTAATGTACCCGTGGGCACAAAAACTCCTACGGAATATCCTATGAATCTGGCTACAACACTGCAAGTGCAACCAAATTGACACATTCCAAAAGGTCTTGGCCTTTCCCTCAATTGGATCTGTTTAAACATTTTCGATCTTCCAAAATATCCGTTGAACTTAAGCGTTAAAGTAACCTGAGAAGAACGCAACTCTCCGTGGGCCCCTGCACACCAGTGTTCACCACCAGCAGCGGGATCAGCGCAATCACCACAGTGGCCGAGTTCCCCGCCAGCCTCGGCGGAGTTTTTTCGATATAGCCCCATGCTGAACGATGTCCCAACAAAAGCCAACAAATCAAGGAAAGCCTGGTTCGTCGGAGATAAGACAGCTTCACGCAAAGTGAGGCAATAAGTGAGCGGGAGGCAGGCTTCAAAAATGAGGACATCTGTTGAATCCTTTGCTCCCTAATCACGAAGTGTCGGTTTGGGGGGAGGGTCCCATAGGGTCCCATAGTGCATGTTATGATGAAAGGCGAGAGACGAGATGAGACGAGAGATCAAACCTTGTGACCTAAAGACTTCCAGCACTCAAGACTCACGAGACTCAAAACATCTTGTTACTAGTAGTAATGGCCTCCATCTCACTTGCGATAACCTCCAACCTTAAGTCTTAAGTTATCTACAGTCTAAGTTTATGTCAGGACGTGTTTCGAGGGTCCAACAAAAGTCAAAGCAAAAGATCTTCCAACATACTGCCCCTGGACTACACAACCACTTACTACCGTCAAGAATGCTCTCTTTCAAAGGTTCATGATGTCACTCGGCCAGGGGTCTCGAATGGTCTTGAACTTAACCGGCTCTAGTAACAAGTGCATCAACAAGTGCATCGCTACTAGTAACAAGTGCATTACTAGTAGCAAATAGCGCTAGTAGCTTCTAGCTAGTAATGCACTTGTTACTAGAAAGGCTTCGTTCCTTGTCGCCAGAACCGAGGCGACCGAGGTTCTGCGCGCGGGGTGCCGAGAGCTGCTGGGCGGCGAAGGCCCAAAGGATCGCCAGGAAAGCTGTGCAGCTGAGACCTGGACGACTAAGACGAAAAAGGAAGTCAAAACATGTTCACCAAACATCGAAAGAAAAAGAACGGAAGGTAAAGGGTTGGGATGTATAAGCCCCCCTTTTCAGGGATGAACTTGCAACCTTACATTTTTGTGTTTGTCTTTTTGTTCTTTTTGACACGAGACATCACGAGAGCTCGAGACCTGCTTTTCCATCGCACGCATGATCACCTGTACGGTTCAATACCCGAAGTCAGCGACATGAATTGCCTCACAGGTTCCCAAAACGCACATGCAAAAGAGGTCTGCAAGAATGGCATGGCCTAAATGGCGGCGTCGGTATGTGAAGCTATATTCAAACCTTGACCATCGAACAGTTGAAACCCAGGAAACTACTTTCGACAAAGAGAGTGAATCCATGTGAATCCTATAGCCGGCGCCCACAGTGAATAATTGTTTTTGAATGATTTCATATGCTTATTGTGAAACAAACCCACTTGAAGAAATGCCCAGATCCTCCAACAATGTCCGCCTATTGCCACAATCCAATGGTTCCACCGCAAGCCGCCCAGCAAGAAACACAGGTAACCTCAGGGTAGAGCAAGGGGATAGAGCGCCAGGTGAAAAAACACAGTTGAGTTGGTATAGGAACACATGATTCATGACTCATGACTCATCATGACTCTGGTCTTTGTCCTGTAGCATTGAACCATGTTGAGTCCAGCATGTCGGTTAGAATTGAACCAAAAAAAAACAACACTTGAAAGTAATTTGAACGTAGATTTGCTGTCCTCATTTGCAAAGGATCTGCATTCATGCGGGAATGTCACAAATCTAAATCTTCTGGAAGCGACTGAGTAACTGTTTGCATAGTTGCCAAGGTGGTTCACCTTGTCATGCGTTCCTTACATCATCATCGCTACCACCATGTCAATGATACAGGTCCGAATATTTCAGATAGAGACCTGTCCAAACCGGTTTGCAAAAGAAGGCGCAAACTCTTTTGTTTCAACATCTAACCAAGCCATGGTCACCTAGTCGGACGCTCATGTGAAGGGTAAACACGACCGTGTTGTGCCAAGCAACAACACCCGAAACCCAGTGGTGCCAGGACGAAGGCCGAAGTGATCTCGGAAAGGGTTCACTTCGAAGGGGGGCAAGGTCGCCCGTGAAGACTTCAATCCGAATCACTTACCGTCTACCATGTCCTGAACATGACAACTTTTGTTGCAAAGCTGTATTCAAGGGTTGACTAACCATCAATTGGGCAGCAGTCAGCTAAATTTGGAGCCCCTTCCCCAATGTGGTTTCGGATTTTCAAGGCCGGATTGCGCGCCCAAAGCTTCAGAACCTGCGCATTTACATCTAGAATTTCACTCACTTGCGCACTTCAAAAAGAGGCCTACTACAACACTACACTGCACTAACAAGCATACCATTATGAGCTGCATTTTGGGAGGTGGGGGGGTGGGGCCTACAGCACTACACACAAACACTAACAAGGTTACATCACTACACTCAAGCACCAACAAACAGGGCAGGGCCTTCAGCGCGACATTCAAACACAAACTTGAGAGAGGAGGGGGTGAACGAAAGGTAGCAGGCAATCACAAGCAACCCTGGTAGAAGTCCATGACGGCGTGAACCGGCGCAGGGGGGATTTGATCCAGGGGGGGCCCCCCCCCCAACGAACAGAATCAACTCTTACAGGACCAAACTCAATGCACAATCCCAACTCCTGATTGTAATACATCTTTGCTAAAGCAAGGAGAACTCAGGTAGCTCAAGCTAAGCGAACAGTATCTTTCACTCACCTGGCTCCCGGGGGTGGGGCCTCAGCACCACACCCAAACACTAACAAACAAATATGTAACATTTCACACTCACCTGCGTCTTGGGTTAGGGGGGGACGCAGTTGCACCGGCCGGCTTCTTCAAAGCCGGCTTCTCCACAGGTGGCCCTTCATCGAAGGAAAACTTGAAAGTCTTCTCTGGCTTGGCTTTCTCGCAGTCGCCAAAAATCTTACGAATGCAGGGCCCGTTTTAATTTCGAAAAACGAGTGAACGGTTGTAGCGCAATCTTTTCCACTAATGACGCTCCACAGGAGCAGGGAAATGCTGGCCTGTCTCTCCTCGCTATCGTTGCTGTTTCCTTCTGCCAATTGAACTGACTTGGCAACAGATCTTTTAAAGGATTCACTCGCAAAAAAAGGCTGAATGAGCAAAACGGCTCTCGCTCACTCCACCCTGTTTTGTACTCTCCGCTGCTGCTGCTGCCGCTGCAACTTACGGACTCCCCATCACCCACCAATGCAATTGAGCAGCTGGAACCCCTATTCTTGGGCAGCTGGGACCACGTGGACAGCTGCTCACCCCCCCTGCAATTTATGTGAATGTTGACCTTGCTCCATGTCCTTGTGCTGGGCTCTGGGTTCAAACCCTGGACATTCAATTTCTGCAGTTCTCTTGCAGTCTGTGGAACTTGGTAGCAATAGGACCACCAGCGCGTGAGGGCTTCTGGACCAAGGGCGTCAGAAAGGGTCCCGTTTCTCGTTTGTTTGTTTTTTCTTGTTTTGGTGCTGGAATAGCTGGAAATGCAGATTTCCTGGTGAGCGGCATTTTGTGAACCTCGGAGTGCAGCGCTGATCCTCACATCTTGGGTCTTGTGTCAGTTGTGGCTCACAGAAGATGTGCTATGTTGGAATGGTCCCTTTTCTTCTTTGCGCCTTGGCAGCCCTGGCAGCCCTTTGTAAATCTCGCTGATCTAAGTGTTCAAGTCTTTTGTGAGATGGACAAAGCCTGGTGGCCCTTAGCATCCGCCGTTATGGGGTTGCTGCGGTACGACGATGCAGCAGCTGATAAAAGATTCCACAGCACCAAGTGAACCTGGGCGTCCTGACCTTAGCATCCGCATCATATACGAGAGGGCAAAAGCCGGGTGGCACTTAGCGGCAGGTTGAGGGGTTGGATCCGGCGCAGACTGCTTTGGTAAATGCGCACAGTTTTTTGCGTCCAGATTGTTTTCTCGATTGAGCTGACTGTCACCGGACCTATAGAAAAGACCTGGTGCAGCAGCTTGCGTGTCCGCGTGGAGAACAGTGGCTTCACTGTGGTGGCCTGCTCCGATCTAATGAGGATTCTGGGACTGCTGCGGGAATGCTACACCATGGCATGCTACACCATGACATCTCTGCTGGGACCATTCACTACCAGCTCTATTTTGGATCTATGAATTGAAGGGTTATCATACTAAGTTGTAATTTAATGACTCTCTCAGGGCCTAGCAGGATTCCAAACGCTTGCTTCTAAATTGCCAGTTCCGACCTACGGATTCCGGGTTGCAGCCAAGAGTATGACCTGCAGAGCTTGCGTAGAGTCATCGATGTGTGCGTGACATCTCTGTGAGCTGCAGGCCCAAAGACCACTGCCAGCGAGGCTTCGGCCATCAAGATGGTCAGCGCTGTTCTATTGAGCAAGTGGATACAAGCTCGTGGAACTTCAATGCGCCGCGTCCTTTCCGTCAAGCTTCTCGTTGTTCAAAGCCTTCAATCTCTGCCCATACACCCACAGAGGATTCCAAGCTGCCAGCCGGACCACACGCCCTGTGTAGTTGGCGCGCGCATCTTTCTATAGCTAGTTTTATATGTATATATATATATAGTCCAAGCAAGACTACTATCTGCAAAGCTTGCAGTGATGAAAGGGTGAAGTTGACTAAATATAGGTTACTATGGGTTCCACACCCAAACGATCATCACCAGCCAGGCCTCGGCCATCAAGATGCTCAGCGACACAAATGAAAACCACCCCGTTGCGTCACTTCTGTATAAGCGCTCTCTTGGCACGAAGTCTTGGGGGGCTGCTGGGGCGCTTGGGAGCTGCTGAGCCAAGAAAAAAGGAGGAATGCCGCAATGGCAAGCACACCACCAAAAATAGAAAATACTCGAGTTGCCAACGTAGTCCTTGTTTATGGTTACATTTGTTTCTTTGTGGCTTATCGATTTGACTACTTCGCCCTGTTCTTGGTTGCTTTCTGAACCCTGAACCGTCCTCAGTCTTCAAGCCATTAAGTGTACAAGCGAGTAAGGAGTTAATATTTTCAAGTGTGCAAGCGAGTAGTTTTGAAGTGCACAGGCCACAAGTGTGTGCTTGCCCTCTTTCAACATGAGCTTGGGACCCGGAACCTAACGAACTCAACTCCGACATCCGTTGTCTCAGTCAGGTTTGGCGATTGCCTCCAACATAGGATCTTCGTTTCGGATGTTTCCAGGTTTCCTTTTCGGCCGTGATCCTGCGCACTGAATCAACCGACCTCTGAGCTTCTCCAATAAAACATCTCCAAGCTTCTCCGTGTTTTGTGCATTGTTGACGTCACGTGTCACAATTTTGACTCTAAAGTGTCAACATAGGAAATCACTAAAAATTACATGTCTTTGATGTTAGCGCCCATGCAGCTCCTATCTCATCCCCGACTCATTCCAAGGCGCCCAGGTGAAGCCGTTCCGACAGGTGTCCCCCAGGTGGTTCATTGGCGTGGCAAAACCTATGACGCACGCCAACGCCACCTCCGAGGCGCGTGGATACGCAACCGTACCAGGTCCAAAGCTAAAGGACAAATGACTGCAATGATGGTTTAAGATGCGAAGAGGAAAAGAAGGAACAAACAAGCAAACGAACGTTAAATATATATATATATATATGTGAATAAAACAAACGAGCAACTGAAGAAACATGAAACAACAAAAGAACGAACAAACAAACGAAAGAATGAACAAACAAACGAAAGAATGAACAAACAAACGACAGAAAGAACAAAAGAACGAACAAACGAGCATATGCATGAATGAAGGAGAAAAACACAAACCAACGAACGAATGAATGGATGAAAGAAAGAAGGAAATATTAATATCCCCTTACCTGATCTTACTTGTGCCTTTTGGGATAAGGGTGTATGTCTGTTATACAAGAAAATATATCTAAAGCAGGTCAAACACGTATGTTTTATGTAAAAGTTTGACCCTGATCGAAGAAGCCCCTGGCTTCCCCTTTGAAGACCCTGTCTTATTTATAGAATGACTTCTCTCTTCTTGCAGAAACCTTGATTTATGCACTCCAGATAGGGAGCACATTTTGCATTTATAGAATGACATGAGTTAGGCCGTTTTATAAGGCCGACACATGTTCTTTTTATAAGCCAACAAGTTTGGAGGATAAAGGCAGAACGCAGCGTACATTGTTGGTACCTTGGGGGTTTGGATTGAGAAGGAACTTCTACCGACCTGTCACGTGAAGCCAAGCAATCTCGCTGGTGTCATCTCTTGTCTGTGTTTGCGTTGTTGTTTTCCACAAGCCTCCAAGTATTTCACACTGGTGGAACTGGCCAAGAGCCTCAAAGAGAAGTGGACAGGTAACAGCTCAACCGCTTCCAATCGGAGTGTCAGAGTCATGACGGCAAAATCCTTTCTCAAAGTATATGTCAGCGCTAAGAGAATAATCTTTGGATACCAAAGCTGCGTGGGTCTCTATTTGGGTCCGATGTTCAAGTAGGGAAGGTCTCATCTTTGGATGCCAGACCTTGACACCAAATTCATGAGCCTGAACTCTCTGGAAATCCACAAAGCTGACAAGAATTTTCAGGCACCAAGATGGGCTACTCTCTAGGGAAACATCATAATTACCCATCACACCATTCACACCCTCAAAGAAGCAAACACCAACCCTGTCAAGCCGTCAAGCCTGTCTCACGCCCGTCTCACCAGGTCACGTGCCACAAACCCAGGAGATGAGCACAGCGCCCGCTGCCTGGAAGGCCACCCGGCTGCGGACGCCGAAAGCGGTCGCCATGGCGCGGATCCGGACGTAAAGCGGCACGTCAAGCGGCACGTAAACAAGCTATGGGATGGAGTCTTCTTGATGTTGAGCTGCATGTGTTCATCAGTTTTTTGTTTTTGGTGACATGGGCGGTCACCGGTACTTTTTGATCCGTGGCTGATAATCTTTTCTTCGTCCATGTCAGTTTTCTGCGTGTTGTTTTTTTGTTTTGTGTTTTTTTCCAAGTGGCATGGGCGCAGCAAAAGTGCTAGGTCTTGTCAGCAATACTTCAGGTATGGTGCCCTTTGCTACGGATGAGAGGCCTGAAATGGCCTGAAGCTGGGAAGTGTCTTGGAGTTGTTCTCACCGAGGAAAACAAAGGAAGGAACACTTCAACTCTTAGACTTCCTAGACTCCTTAGACCTTCCGCTAGTCTTCAAAACAAAACTGGGAAGCTATGCAAACGATCCAGGAGCGGTTTCAACCCCTTTTGCCGCCACTCTCCCCGGCTTTGTTTGACCCGAGCCTCCGAGCCGGCTCAAAATGCACGTGAAATACCTAGTAGCTTCTTGTTACTACTAGTAAGGCGCTTGTTACTAGTAGCTTCTTGTTACTAGTAGTAAGGGAAAGCCGCAAATACAAAGTGTCTTGGAAGAGACGGAAAACTCTCACGTGGATGATGATACAGAAACCTCTCAAAGTGTCTTCGAATGCACAATCACTCTCACTTAGTAAAGGTCCAAAGGATTTATGTAAGCCTTGGGAGAAAACCATCCAGGATTTGGCATATAGCCAGCCGAATGGGAAATTGGATCTGCGAACGACGACCACCACATGTGGGCACAATCTTGAGGTGGGAACTGCAACCACGAAAGGACAATATGTGAGTCAGCACTCAGCATGTTGAAAAAAAAAACATGTGCGTTTTTTGTTTGTTGTTGCTTGAATCGTTGGCGAAAACACTCTAATTGCGGGAAAAGATGTCACTTACACAACAGAGAGTAGTAACCGATGTTCGAGCGATTCGAGTAAGTCCCGTGAGGAGTTCATTTTCATGAACTGTTGTCAAATAGATGAATGTCAACAAACGCATAGCAAGACCCCCATCATTGCCCTTTGTTGCGGAGGTGAGCCTTTCACGCCAAGTAGATCAGTTCCTGCCCCAATATGCAGCATTCGAAAGACGTTTGCTGAAGGTTTGAACCGCGCCCAAGATGCTCCATGAGGACGGAAACGAAGAGGAAACACACAAATGGTTGGAGTTGTTGTGACTGTAATTCTCATTTTTTGTTGATTCATGCAGCATGCAACTGGCATACAAATACGTTCAATATCCTTCCCCTATCAGCTCTGAGGAACCGTGAGGACATCGCATGATCACATATGATCACCATGCAGTTTGCATGTCCAATGGTTGGTGTATGTTAGAACCGGGTGGGGTGCATTTTCCGCGGAATCGTATCCACAAAGCTGAACGCATCGGGCGGACAATCGCGCCGCCTCTCTTTTCTCGTTAGTGTGCGCATGTTGGGATGATGAAGCGTACAAGTGCTGTGCCCCGGCATTGGGGCACAGGGACAAGAGGTACAAATATTAAGATCTGAGAGCTGGGAAAAATTGCTCGGGGAGCATGAAAGCCACGAGCTTTGTGGTCCATGGGCCAACCCCCCCAGGAACTTTGCGAAAAAACACAGTGTTAATTGAATTTGTGGTAACATTGGATTGAACCCTCCATTGTTGTGATTTTGCTTGAAACAGAAACACATGCACAACTCTTGAGACTCTTGAGAAAAACTGGTGAACCCCCATGTTCATGTTCATGCTTCTCTCTGGTACAAACAAATCAAGCAACCAAGAATCCGATGCAGCAACCAAAGCCCATGTGCAAGCTTAGACAACAAAAAACGATTCGAATGGTTGGATTTTTCCCGTATCTCAGCGCCGCGCCCGAGCTTGGTTCGCCGCCATTCGGTGGCTGGGCACCGGGTGCGCCGTAAGCTGCTAAGGATTGCTCGCAGGCGCTACGAACATCCAACGCGGAACCGTCACAGAAGTATATGAGGCCGTCGTCATCGGGAGAGATTTGCGCTGGACATGTTCACTGGATCTTGCGCGTACCGAGTTCGGTTCTGTTGTCACCGAAACCCTTTTGGGCAGCCTCCAATCAAAGTGGCAACAAGGGACTTCCCACAGAAAGGGGCCAAGGGACATCTACGCCTTAAGAAAAAGAAATATTTCTGGGTGGGTGAGTTGTTTGCGTGCTTTTGGTCAGCAAGTACCTTTGAAAAAGGAGCAGGAAAATATGTGTTCAGTCTCATTTCTTGCAAAGAACATGCTTCTGCCGCTTCCTTCGCGAAGATTATCAGATGCCTCCGGCGCAGGAATCCGACCCACTGATGCTGGAGGAGCTACCCATTGATGAGACGCAGCTGTCACTGTGGACCCATGCAGGAGGTTGCGATGTGGATGCCACAGTTTGGTTGTCCCGGTCCGGCAACTTGAAACGCGTGGTTCGAAGAAGTGTGTTTGACAATGCAACCAATCAGATATTAGATGACTCTTCCATCCAACCAGGTTCAGCCCATCTTCGCTTGCTCCGGAGAATCCATTATATATCTGTTCAGCCTGGGTTCACGTGTCTAGCTCGAGGTCAAGCAAAGTGCAAAGGTTTGCGTACACAATCCCAAAGACAAGCGTCTTGCAATGGAGGTTTTCTTTTGTCCAGGTTTTCCAGAGAAGCTGCAAAACATCAGTTTTGCGCCAGCGAACTGCGTCGCGAAAGAACAAAAGGAAGAGGAGTTGATTCGGGATCTTCCTTCCTTGCTACGACCCGAACACAGCGAAAGACCACATTCGGCGCCCCTTCTGAGTGAGAATGATGGCTGGCAGCTCACCCTACATGGTGAGCTGGACACAACTGATCTGTGGTAGCTCTAGTGGGTTCATCTTGGATTGCCCTATCCCATGGTTGAATTGAGCGCCAAGTGCAGAAAACATTTGATCGCGAATGACTCCACCGCTGCCAAATTGCGCCACATGATCTGACCATTGCAGAATTAGAGACACCATGGAAAAGATCGTTCCTTACCTGGCTTCTGGCAAAGAAAACACTTTTGGGACGCGTGATTGCATTGCTATTTATGGGCTTACGCCCGACAGCCGGCCAGGGGCCGACCTCTGGAGAGGGAGGAGGGACGGTTGCGCCTGTGGTGGGTATGGTGGGTGTTGTAGCGGTGGTGGTGGTGGTGGTTGCTGTGTCGTTGTTGTTGTTGTTGTTCTTGTTGTTTTTGTTGGCGTAGTTTGTGCCGTAGTTGTGGTGGACTTGACGGCGCGGGCGGAGCCCGCGTGGAACCCATCTCGGGCTACGTGGGGCGGTGTTTGCGCTTCGTGGCTCCCAGCATGCGTCTATGTTGAGCCATCGTGGGCCCACGTTGGCCCGGCCCATACCGGACCCTTGTTGACCCACGCTCACGCTCTATAGAGGTCACTGCACCACGAGCAAAGCCAAAGCCGCTTCGCAGCCACACCGCAGCCTGCAAAGACCACGTTTTTGTAACGTGCCCCATCCAAGAAGGGGGGAAGAGCGACGAATGTGGAAGGATGGATTGTTGTTGTTGTTGTGGTGGTTCTGGTTGTTGCGGTGGTTCTGGTTGTGGTTGTGGTCGCCATGCAGCATTTCCTTTCATTTGTCTCCCAGGTCTGCACTGGTGGTGTCCGCCCTTTTCCGCTTGCCATGTAGTGTCCGCCTTGTCTTCCTTGTTGTCTCCCTTTGTTTCCGGTCTTGTCTCCCTTCTTGTGGATCACTGTGTCCGCCTTGTCTCCCTTCTGTTTCCTTTTGTCGCCTTTTGTTTCCCTTCTTGTTGGTCATTGTGTCCGTCTTGTCTCCCTTTTTTTCCTTGTGTCTGCCTTCTTGTCTTCCTTCATTGCATCCGCATTGTCTACTTCTGTCTCCCTTTGTCTCCGGTCTTGTCTCCCTTCTTGGTGGTCACTGTGTCCGTCTTGTCTCCCTTCTGTTTCCATTTGGCTCTCATTGTGTCCGCCTTGTCTTCCTTCTGTTTCTTTTTTGTCTCCGGTCTTCTCCCCCTTCTTGTTGGTCACTGTGTCCGTCTTGTCCTTTTCTCCCTCTTCTTGCTTCCCTTCTTGTTGGTCATTGTGTCCACCTTGTCTCCCTTCTGCCTCTTTGTCTCCGGTCGTGTCTCCCTTCTTGTTGGTCATTGTGTCCGTCTTGTCTCCCTTCTATTTTTTTTTGTCTCCCTTCTTGTTGATGTCTCAGGGGGGGTGGACTTGGGAATGCTTCGTTGTTGCCCCACCTGCTTGGGGTCTACGGTGGTGTAATCTTTCTTTTCTGGGCTAACTTGCGCATGTAGTGCTATGTCTCTATCCCTTTTCTTGCCTCTCCTCACATTCCCAAAAACGACAGCACAGGTCAACCTTCGGCCGAAAAAACGCCTGACTCCTTGAAGGTCCAACGGAGTGCCACACATCGCACCAGTGACATCGACGAAAAGGACTGATGGCATCGATGGCGACCACAGCTTCATTGCGGGGGGCAAACGACCAGATGGGTTGTCAGTGCTGACCTGCCATGACATTGTTTGGTTTCAAAACAGTTCAGAATGAGCCTCCAGCATTGTTAGGTTGGAGGCCCATTGCCATTAGGTTGGAGGCCCGTTGCTATTAAGTTGGGGGGCCATCACTGATAGGTTGGAGGCCATCGCTATTGGGTTGGAGGCCATCGCTATTGGGTTCAGAATGTTTTCAGTTGAGACCTGCCTGCCATGACGGTTGGTTTCACAGTTCAGAATCAGGCAAGATCTGTTGTTGCCCAGGGCCTCCAGCATACCCAGTATGCCACAGCTCAGCCATTCGAGCGCTTTCCGTCTCAGTGGACCCCTCTGCCCAAAACTGTGCTCCGGCCGCCTCCAGCTACGGAGCTGGCTTTTTTTCTCCACTCAGCGACGAGCACAAGGCTTCCTTGTGAAAGTTTGATATGACCTGGCTGGAACCTCAGTCATCCAAGGTTGTGAACACCAGCTGAATCTGATGCCAAAGAGGACTCTATTCTCTTCATGGGCAAGGGTGT